AACAAAAGACACTAGAGGCCCCAAAGCACTTTCAAATTCTTTCCAAATAGGAATACTTGGAACTCAAGACTATTTTCAATTTTTCAAAAAAAACGGGGTCCCAAAATTGACACAAAAATAGATCAGGCCAGAATTTTCCAAAAATAGAACACCAAAGTTCCCAAAAATTGTTTTAAATAATTTACAAAAAAATACATGGGATCCCCAAATAATACATCATGGGTACTCAACAGTCACCCGAATTAAAAAAAAACATTGCAGCATTCAAGACTTTTTCAAAAGTTTTTTTCAAGTTCATCCAGCAACAAAACATCAGATTCCTTTAAATTTATCCGAAAATAAAACACCAGGACCTAAAATTTACTGCAAACTTTCTAAACGTAGGGTTTTGAAAATTTTGACAATTTTTGATGTCATTTTTAACTGTTTACTTGATTTTTGCTGATTTTTTTTACCTTAGCTTATTTCAGGCAAACATTGTTGTCAAATGGAATTTTATAAAATTATTACAAAAACAACACAACCATATCTTTGTACATTCTAACTGAAATTTTATTACTAGTTATTCTGATAATAAATGTGTTATTTAGTTGTTAAACGTAGCAAAGAACTAATTTTAAAATTATTATAATTCCATCAGAATGTGAGAAGAAATTTGTTTACTATTGTTCCCAGACTCACCACTTGATTCTTAAGAGCGTAGCGGAAAGCTAATCCGTCATTTTCCAGACACTCGGTATATTAGAAATACCATGAAGATGGTAAAACGCTAACCGAAACTTGTCTGATTTTTTCATAACGTAGCCTATTCCTGCAGATGGTTTATGAATCCGACTTGATTTTTTACCTTAGGTTTTACAATTTTACCTCGCAACTGCAACACCGAATACTGTGAAATCTTACTAATAAAAATCGCTAATCAAACTGTATCTGTCCAAGCCCCCAAATATTCTTTAAATTTTATAATATAACGTACTTCTGCATGTGTTATTTATGAATCTGTGTTGAATTTGTATCCCAGACTCAAAATTGCGTAACGACATTTTACAAGTTAACGTTGAAAATGCAAAACTGAATCCTTTGAAATCTTACAAACGTATTAAGTTTATTGCAAACATGGTAAATTGTTAATCTAAATTTATCCGTTTATAGCCCCCCGAAAAACCGATGACGTCTTCTTACAATCTTGTTGAAGAAATAGTATTTAAATTGTATAAAATAACATACTTCTGCACTTGTGGTTTATGAATCAGTGTTTCAGGTTTATATTAGACATCCAGATTTTTGAAAACTAAATCAAAATTGTATAGCACTTAACACTTTAATGAACAATGGAAACCCGAATGGTGCGAGATTTCGCAAACGTTTTAAAGCTACCATAGGCATACTAAATTTAGCTTTTAGTTAGATTTTATTGGATTCGAAAATATATAAAAATACACCTTTTCTCTTAAAAATACTTTTGTGGGTTAGGGTAAATGTGTACAAGAGTACGCACTTAGTGGAAAACTGTCAACAACTTTTTAATTTTTTTGGATAGACAAATTTTATGATATGGGTTCGTCATATACATGTTTAGAGATCTGATACATTTAATTGTACGTCCCAAGACCACTATATTTTAAGAGTAATTTCAATTTTTGTCAAGATGTATAAATGCGCACTCTTAGACAGTTCATTGCACAAGAGTGCGCATTTGAACGCTTATGAGTGCGCATTATATTTTATTAAAAAATCTTTGTTTCTAAGGTGAAAATAAATAGGAACAAGTAACTGCAGACTACACATAAAACGGGAGACTTATTTCTTCGTACTCTAGGGGTCTTGAAAAGCCGAGAAAACGTAAAAATAGAGAGTCGGTCGACGGACTCGATTTTAACACGCTTAGGAAGTAAAAATTAAAAAACAATTCACCATAACCACCACCACACAACTTGAGAAGCAGTACAAAGTAGTAGAGTTAAATAATTCATTATCGTATGATATGTATCTACAAGACTATTAGACTACGTATCGCAAGCAATGCGCATCTTATACAATACCTCACTGCGCACTCTTGGACATTTGTATATAACCTAATGTTTTCAAAGTTAAAAGCGTTTGATGGATAGAAAGTATACAACTGTTAGTGTATAACGAGACCTTAAAAGTTACAGCTAATGAAAATTATTACTGTAAAATAAAAGAACTGGTACGTACCTTACAAAAAACTAAAACTATGAGCGGTAAAAATTACATCCACACAACGTGTGAACATAAAATCGTCAGTACGACCAAACTATAAACTATATACAGGTCACTTTTGCACCTTTATCTCAGGTTTAGCATTAATTTCTGAATGGTATAACTTCATCTTATCCAGATGGCACTAATAAGCAGAAATCATCAGTGCGCACTCTTATACATATTCGCACTCTTGTACACATTTACCCTACTAGTTTTTTCTGAAGCCAACGGAATTTTGAGCGTTGAGCGTTCACAAAAAAAAGACTGCTTAGTTATTAGAAAAGTTTTAATTTAGTGGTTGGACCTAATGTTTATAGGTAGTAAAATTTTTGTTTGTTAGTAGAGGTCTGATGAAGGACTTTAAAACCTGAAACTAGTAACCCAGAAGTTTTTTTTTTTTTTTTTTATTGGTTAACGTTACCCAACAGGCCGGAGGCCCAATTACAGGGTAACGGGGGACATACACAACACCCAGAGCAGGGCGGGAATCGAACCCACGACCCAAGGTGTGGCAGGCAAGCGCGATGCTACCTAACCCACCCGGGTCCTTTTGGTTGACAGTTGGAGAGAAAAGGTGTATTTTTATAAATATGGTCCGTTTATAGAGGACATGTTTCTTGCATACCAATAAGATCTAAATTTTTGTGAGGTATAAACTAAATACGTATTAAAAGTAATATGTGCCCCCAACGTCAACAATAAAGTAACTGTATTGCTATACTCATAAAAAAATAGATAAAATGATGAAATAACCGTAAAAATATCGGTCCATATTATAAGAACAAAAATTTTGCATATAGACTACTACCCTTAGGCTATGACACTAAACTGCTCACTACTATACAGAATCACAGTTACATCAGACTCATCAATATACTCAATTTTTATCAATGAAATCACGTTGTCTTGTAAAAAATTAAATATTGCAATTGTTTTTGATCATCATTAAAGATATAAAACTATTTGACTAAATTAAGTTTTTTCTGTAAACCCATACGCATTTACAGCCTAAAATAATAGAAACGTGGTTTCAGACTATGAAATAACAGTGAGAAATAACCCAAAAGAATTACCGACACTCGAACTGTGAGTTGAAACTGGCCGAAAGCGAAACCGAAACCAAACCTGCATCACATATAACGATCATAATTTCATAATAAATAGGGGTATTTAAAAATAAAAATATCCATGTTCTTATGAGCTATGAAAAGCTGAAAAATGTACCACTGGACTCGTTTCCAAATTAACCCGCTGAAATGACTAATCCTCAGGAAGCAAAACAGTAGATGAATTTCCAAATTCCCTCCTTTGTCTCTACAAAGTACATTTTTCATTTCCCTTATTTAATATTTGCCGTGTCTGCTCTTTGACGTATTATTCCCCCCATTTAACGAATCGAAAAGAAAAAATCCACCAACAGGTGCCGATATTAAAATCGCATCAATTTGCTTCAGCAGCCCAATCCCCTTCTTCTTAATTAAAGCAAACCTACCGAATCCTCAAAGAAAGAACTGCTGAAAAGAACGAAAATTACAAACATCCCAGCTGACGCAATTCAAATGAACCCCAACACACATACGCGTATAAAAAGAACCTTTGATCTCTGACTTAGCGTAGGCAGTCAACGAAATTACGGGAATTTGTTGAATCGTCCTCTGTGCATTTGCAAGCGGGAATTATGCAACAATTCTTGAGAGTTTTTCTCGACTCGTGAATAGAACGCATCAATGAATAAATCAATATTTGCTTTCGAAGCCCTGACCCGATGGATTTTTGTGTGTTAATGGGAAAATAATATCGTTGCCGGAAGTTTGTGCAACGACACAAATGTAAACACTTTACACAATGACTTGTCGGAATCATAACAAATCGTCGATTGTAATTGCGCTTAGGAAAATATTTTTTCGAGAGGGTGCACGGGCGGGCACATTCAAGGGGGCGAAATTAAATAAACGCTAAATTGGGTACTTGTGCCGCTAAGTATAAACAACGTATTCCAAAAGATTTTTATCAATTAAAAACCTCTTTCACAAATAACAAAATAATCTCGCAATGTTGTCAGATTAATCCAAATTTAACTAAAAAGACAAACACATTTTTCGGTATTCCACCGGGACTGCTTTCAGCTTTACGCTGCCACATTAAACAGCACCTCCGACAAAATTTTATTAATTAAAACTTCTACAAAACAAGTATGTTTCTCTCAAAACTCAGTCCGCTAACGAGCGATGTTCTCACCATTGCAATCGTGGTGGTAAAAAGGGTACAAATGGCACATCAGTCGACGGCGTGGGTAATTCATTAATTCGTCGATTGATTGCATCCATCCGACCGTTGTGATTGGATTAGTTAGCAAAACTCGCAAAGCTGAGAGCTGATGCACTCGTACAATGCAGGGCGGCACATGCAGAAGAGGACGCGTGTGAGCGGATGCAGCCACAAGTGGTCATTGAGAGCTGCAAGCCTTGCAGGAGGTTTGAGAATGAGCACCTGAGGAGAGCAGGCACTTTAAGATAACGAAGGCCTACTGGAAAACGGAGAAGGAAATTGGCTTTGTATGCTAGATATGGGAGGCAGAGGCGAACTCGTACTCTAGTAAGACTTTTTCATAATCTTACACATTTTAATGAGTCAAAGTTTTACTCATTTCAGACTCTGCAATCGTTAATATACTGATATTACACTGATTACACTCGTTGTAAATAAAATAAAATTAATAGACTTATCCTTAAAATTTTATTGATTACCAACACAATATTCGTCACGAAATGTAAATAACCAGCAGTCAGTTTAATTAGTATCCATAAAAACAACCACGACATCTAGAATAACCGTCGTAGGTTTCATAAAAATTGTAGTAACAACTCGAACAATCGACTTCTGTGTTGTAACAATACCCAAAATAACACACTGGTCTGTACCAGTAAGATAGCTTGTAACAACCTCGTTGGCACGGATTGGCTGGCCAGTACACAATACTGCCATAACAACCTCCACACTGGCGACGGTACGGATTACACCCATACGTAACACAAGGTTTAATAACAACGCAACAATCAGGTGTTCTTGTCGTTGTTGTCGTTCTCATTGTTGTAGATGTTGTAGATGTTGTAGAGATCTCTGTGGGTATTATTTTTGTCACATCAGGCTCCTGAGTAGTGCCGCTTCCGCCACTTCCTCCTCCCACGTATGTTATGTTGTTTGAAACGTAACTGTCCGCGTGAACGTTAATATTGATGTGGTTGTTGTTGGTAAGTCTATTATTTAAATTAATGGTGTTGGACTGGTGATGTTTTGTGCCCCCGCTTTGTTGTATACGCTCAATTTCGGCTTCAGGTTCGGGTTCGGGTCCAGGTTCTGTATCAGATTCAGTTTCTGTTGTTTCCGATTCAGGTTCTAGGGTTGTTGTTACAGTTTTCGGTGTCTTTTTCGTGGTACTACATTCAGTGGGAACACAACATTTTTGAACTAGTAGGTTTATGCATAATTTTGAACTGCATTGATTTTGACAAGAAGGAACACAGTTGACTTTGGTATTACACGAATTGCAACATGTTCTGGAGAGAGCAGTACCGCTCATCGTAAGCACGATGAAAATTAGAACGGAGTTCTGAAAATATGCATTTTTTTTTGTAAAGTTACATTCTCAAAGTATAACTTACCATAGCAAATTGTGTTCCAATTGAAAAACAATGTCTAAATGCTTTGGTAAATGATATAATTTCTTGTTTTTTAGACTGATAAAGTGAATGTAGTACAAATTAAATGTAACTTGTTAATACGTTGCAATTTGGCACAAAATTAATCAGTAAATGATATCGTTTATTGCAATCACTGTTTATTACATAATTGAGAAGTATATTATTAGAATTCTGATATTCGGATAAAGTTCATCATAAATATTCAGAACATCCTTGAAAAGTACGATAAAAGTCTTCATAGCACGAACAATTTACGTTTCTTTTAAATTAGTGCATATTTCACCCCTTTTAAGATCAAGTGGACTGAGAAGAACAAGAGGTACGCCTTGATGACATTGATTATTGTCACCATAGATACTTACCTCTGCAACTATCACAACTATGCTCTTAATTTTCATAAGCTAGGAAAGTACAACAATAATTTAGTACCTAAGTGCAAAATACGTTACTGAAAATAATACTAAGTGTTAATAGCATACTTTGAAGGTCCAAGACAGATTGCTCACAGATGTGATACAACGAAGACGAAAACCTTGTACTTTGAGAAAAAGCAGCAATATTACAAAAATTGTAACATGCATTTAAAATTTTCTAAAAACAATTTGGCTTAGGATTTAATTACCAGTGCTGTAAATTTAGAAATTCTACTTTTCAAAAGTAGCAAATTCGATCAGGTTCCAAACAACCATTCTACATTTAGTGAAAAAGCCTTCACATTAGGCTGATAACATTTGAACTTCGAATCTATAAAGTAACATGTTTGGATCACGTATTTAAAATTTTTAAATTTATTATTACTTATTATTAAAATTACTATCTGCAATATTTTCAAGGGTTTTAACGAAGTAGTTTTTCTAAAAAAAAAAATTAATTTTTTCATTGCAGTAGATTTTTAAAAATAGTGTCTTATATTCACACAGAAGTATGAAAGTTGTAGACATCAATGCAGCCATAGTTAAAGCTCTCACAGCAGTATTATTGTATGTATTAGTATGTTTGTTGGGTAGACAATGGTTTTAATTTTGCTTTTCTAAATTATTTTTTATCTTCGTATTCATGATTTTTAATATAATTAACTACAAGTTTTACAAAGTGCGATTCTTAAGACTTCTAATCTCGGTTGGCTTTCAAACAGAAGTCTTGTCTTAGATAACATGAATTTTCAACGTTCACTTTTTTAGGTTAGGTGTTATTGTTCTCCATTTAATTGGACATTGACATATGCATTGTGTATGCACTCCACATGCACATACGTTTCTACATTATCAGCATACTTGGATCAGAAAGATATGAAAATCTCACTAATGAAGAACCTTAAGCCCCGATATTTGTTGCATTATCAATCTTACCGACACATTATTCTTTGTTCTTACAAATAAAAAAAATATTAACCTATTTAATTTTTTATACGGTTGAGGTTTGTTGATGTCAGCTGCCAAACTAGGTAAGTTTTTGAATCTAGGGGATTATTTTAAATTTCTATAAAAAAAAACAACTCTAAAATTTATAAAATATGAAGTTTGAAAGAAATTTTGAAAATACATTTTAATTCTAGTAAAAAGGTAAAACTGGGTCAATTTTCTAGAACATACGTTATTTAAACAAAATAGTTAAAACTGCGATCTCAAGTGATCAATCCGTCTTAAATTTTATACCTCAAGTTAATTTTTGTTAGAGTGAAAACCCGGAGATGACTTTTGGGATAGAAATAGCCTTAGCAAATTGTTAAGTTGTGGTTTAAAAAGTAAACTTTATTTTTGGATGTTGACCCCAATGCACGTGGTACTACCTTATTGTTAATATAAAAAGAAGAAGACTTTCTGTTTACTATTTTATTTTCGTTGTTAGTACCGGTTTCGGGTTGTTATCCCTTCATCGGCCAAACCCGGATGACCGGCCTACAAGATAAAAGAGCATGATTTAACGTAGTCTAACCTAAAATTTTGAACATTATAAAATTACTTGTCATAAGTAGGTACCACTTATACCTAACAAATACCTTAGAAAAGTCTCCCCTGTCTATTAGTTAAAGTTTCTTAAAATGTCCTAATGACCTTTTTTGTTAAAATGTTTCACACTTATGTGATTACAACAATTGTCAGCGACGCGATTAAATGACAGATTAAAATTAAAAATTAAAATCCCTACTCTGATTAATCTAGTGATATTCATGGATGTGTCTAAGAAACCTCTATCGGTACTTCATTACTCCTATTCGGAAGGCGCCTTTTTTTCTTAAAATCGTTTATGTTGATTATGATCTTCAATGTCGGGGTTGCTTTCTTGGTGTAAAACATTATATTATCTGTATCTAAATTGTGGTTTTGTGCTAATTAGGTGCTGTTGCATAGCTGAGTATTTGGCTGGGTTGGTATGTTCTTTTATCTTGTTCTGATGTTTCTTCCGGTTTCCTATATGTAGATCCTGTGAACACCACTTTTATCTTTTAGGTCTATTTTGTCTTTTTCATTAAATATATCCAGTATCTTATTTGTTCGTACCGCTACCTTCACCTTAAATTTTTTGAGGATTCTTTTGATTTTTTCAGGGATGTTATCTATGTAAGGGATGCAACCCTCTATTTTGTTTACTTCTTCCGTACTTTGTTTAGTTCTTTTAATTTGTCAATTAGTTCTTTTGTGTTTGTAATGCTATGTTTCGGTTTAAATGCTGTGTCTTCTTAGACAGTTATTGACCCACTTTGTTATTCTGTATGTTGGAAAGTTAATTCCGGACACTACTGATCTGATGGGCTTTCCTTCTTTGTGTAATTTGATCTTTCCATAAAGTCTCGGGATCGTCGGGTTCATTTCTTTAAGTCCTCAAATGCTATTGTGTGGTGGGTATATCTTCACATGCGACCATTTTTGTTATTTTGGCCGTTATATCCTGATAGGGAATACAGACAGAATATTTTTAAAACTTATTTCTATCCCGTCTATGTATATATATTTCTGTATTCATATTCTAGGCATATGTTTTACTAATAACAATAATGATAATATATGTCTGGATTGATGTTCATGATAAATTTGTTCAATGCTTTTCTGTAGATTTCAAGGGTTTATTCTGTGTTTTCTCGTCCGCAAATATTACACTGTCAAAAGTGATATGGGAAATCCTGCAGAAAAGCCAAATTAAAAGTAACCCAATCAGATGTATATAAAGTCTACCAAAGAGCACAAAGAACATCAGAATAAAGAGAGACCACAAAAAGAGTCGGACAAGATTACATTCTTAGGCCACTACTTGTGTTCTTACTTGCACTAGACGAAGCAATGAAAGCAGCGAGGAAGGAAGTAAAAAAATACGAAAGAGAATATTGAAAAATGCAAGAAATAAAAATAAAATTAAAAAGCACGATTAAAAGGATTTTCGAAAGTTTGACGGTAACATGAAGTCAAAAATTCTATCAAAGACAAATCTTCAAAAATTCATGGGTGTTTTTTTTATCGTGTTTTTATTGTTCTCTTGGTAGAACAATGTGTATATAACAATAAGTATGGCAAATAAACAAAATATGTAGCTATTTTGGACTACAAATCAAGGTTCAATTCGAAAGAAACAAAGTATGAGACATGATCAGTAGGTTTCCCAACGCTCTAATCATGATAGGTGTGGTACATTGACACTAAGTAGACTAGATCAGAGTAGTGTAAATTACTTACAGGGTGATATATGGATCAGTACTAGGTAGACACGCGAGACTGGTTAGGATCGGGTGCCTTTAGAGACTAAATAATAAACCACTCTTAAATTTTGAACGTCTTTGTAACTTTTGTGTAATAGTAATGATACAAATATTAAAATATTGTCTGAGTGCCGACCACCTCCGCGTTAGTGGTAAGTTTTAAAATAATAATAATAATAATAACAATAATAATGACAGAAACAAAATTTTTAACAAAAAAAATATTTGAATAAAATTAATAGTTTTAGCGAACAAAAACGACTAAGTAAATACCAGTAACTGTAACTTTATTCTCTACACTGACAATACACAATCGTCTTCTGTACTACATCATCAAACAATACAATTTAGTAAAAACATCCATGACATTGCGAATAGCCCTGATAACTTTGGTAAAAGTCTTCATGGCAGTAAGAACAGTCAACATTTCTAGAAAAACAGCGCCCCATAGTACAACTGTGTCTAGTCCATGAATCTCTCTTATAACAACCTTGTTCGCATGGATTCACTGGTAAGTACCCATAACTTCCATGACATCCTTGGCAAGTGTAGTGATATGGATTACAATTAGGTCTGATGCAAGGTCTTACAATTATACAGCAACCCATTGGCGGCTGCGGTGGTGGTACCGGAGGATGTGGCGTTGGTGGTACCGGAGTATGCCCATTCGTTGGTACTTTAACAACAACGGGAACAACTTTTGTCACTACGTTTGTAGATCCATTGCCGCCGCCACCTCCCATTCCTCCGATTTCATTTTTGATATTATTAACAACGTTGCTGTTAACGCCTATGGTTAAATTAAGAATGTTGTGATTGTTTACCACGTTATTCGAAGAAATGTTAGCTGTTAAAGATCCCTCATGACTTTGAGTGCTACGTCCAGAATCACCTCCATTGATGACACGTTCTGGAGGACAAGTACAAGACTTAAATCTGCCATCATTTGTAGAGCAGTCTTGTGACTGAGAACAAGAACTACAAGATCTGTCTCTTCCAATATTGTTGCAACAACTTTGTGACTGACCACAACTACTTGATTGGACACAGGTTTGGCTACAGCAGTTGCTTTGACAGGTATTTATACATTGGGCAGTGTTACATTGTTGTTGACAATTGGAGCAACAACTAGTGCAACAGTCGCTAGTACATGAGTTGCAGCAACCAAAGGACTCCGAGAAGTTAAGGAAGATAAAATATACCCATATTATCCATAACGACGAATTCTAAAATGAATATCAGTATTATTCACAAAAAATACAGTGAATTTTTTTATGTATTCTCACAATTTTGACAAACTGATTTCTTTACTGCAACCTTTGTTTCAATAAAGCACAAATCAATACCTCTTACAAATTTTGTACTTTTGTCTTAAAAGAAGATACGTAAACATAATTAATATTATATTTTTTAAATATTACTCGTAAAACTTAAGAATCATTTTATTTACACCTTCCAATGGAAACATGTTCAATTTATTTAAATACCGAATAAATAATGTTTAATCACTTACCATATCTGTGTTTGCTTCTGATAAGGAGAGATCATAAAATGATGTCCTATACTACCGATTTGTCTCATTATTTGTGTCCTTCACACTTTGGTCTCTAGATAACATTACAATAGAAAAATTTTGACCCAGATACGAACATTATTATTATCGAAGTCAAAGCAAATCTCGTTAAAGTAAAAAAAATCTATTAGGAAATGTTATAAAGATCCACAAAAAGATACATAAATAATATTCGGCAGTTATACAGTGTATTGAAAGTAGACGAACCCAACTAGTATTTTTTCTAATTTGTGAAAACTGTAATTCTTCAGGTTGAATAACATAAATGACGTTGCAGAAATGCAGTACGCATTAATCAAGAAAAACAGTCGACGGCATGCTATGGGTTTTTTATTTTATCGATAATGATTAATCAATTCGCTACAATGGGTGTTCCTGTGAACCACACATCTGTCCTTTGGTTGTTGCACTTGCCTAACTATTTACTCTCCGACAGTAAGTAGGGGAGCTCGTGGAAAAATTACAACGCAACAAGCAAACAGCAATATTCGCTGGAATAACTTGAAAGAGGGCCTGCTTCATTATGGAATCGGTCGGAAAAAGCAATTTGAGGCAATTCCGACAGACAATCGAATGCGCTTCGCACACACAGCATCAAAAAGAGACAGACGAAATGCTGGCTTTTGTAGTAGAACCGAACCGAAAACAAATAACAGCTCTTCAGCGCAAATATAGTGAATATATAGAGATAGGCGCAAGGATCTCTTCCCGACTTGGAATTACAACTTTGTGACGAGAGTTGCTCGTTTGTTTAGAAAAGGGGCTTTTGTTTCACAGAAAGCGCGCCGTTTTGAGCTTTTTTGAATAATTTGATTTGAGGCGGGAGGAACAATAATAAATAGTTCGAGAGGCAAAAGTCCTAAGTCTGGCAATGTTATTATGTTAATATTTTCGGGTCCTTAAGACCGCTATCTCTTACGCTGCGCAGGTGCGCTACTTTATTTCCTCCCTCGCAAAACTCCAAAAAGCATTCAACGCGAAAATGAGCTTTAACTGTCATTTCTTACTAAATACAACATGAAAATTTCTTGGAAATGCCAGGCATTATTTATAAGCTCGCGACATAAAGTACAAATTCATGTCGCGGCTAATTGCAGCACTTAGGGATAAAGGAAGTTCATTTTCCTTTTACATGCCGGGAAAATTAAACGCGAGCTTTCAGTACATACAGGCACAATATACCTGTTGATTTAGTTCGTCTAACCCTTGAAAAATTTTTACGCCTAAAATCGACACTACAGCAGAATGTTGAGGCGATTATTGACGTGTTAGGAGTTCGTTCGACCGCCATATAAAGTAATTTAAACTTTTCAGCGAGGTCGGAATTACATGGAAGTATATAATTACTGTGGTCGCAATTAAACTACGAAAGGAAAGTCATTAGGCCCCAGGGAGGCCGACAAGAATAATATTGGAAGTTTATAAACCAGAGTCTGACTCCAATTAGCGAATGGCCCCCTACCACTAAATTTTCCAAGTACATTTAATCTGTCAGTAATGCATGCTCTGGGAGATAAATAGTCTTAGAAGTCACGTGACTCAAAAATCGGAGAAAATATCTTACCTTTAAAATAGAAGAAAAAAAATATGTCTGTACGTGTATGTGTAAACTGATATCGGTAACTTATGGTAGCTTCAAATCATTCATTTAGAACAATTTTATCAGACGATTTTAGAATATGTTTACACCAGGGCATTTTAACTGGACTCCCTGTGAGCAGTACTGTAATCGAGTCTGTCAGGTCTTCGGTTTCCGTCTGTCTGTCTATCTGTTTGCCGTGTGTCCGATTTTTTATTACATAGATAATCTCCGAAACAACCGATTTTACCGAATATCGTATAGATGGTAAAACGCTAACCAAAATTTGTTTAATCAACTCCCCCAACAATGTGATGACATCCCCACAAAACTGTGTACAATCAACATAACTCAAATTTCATAAAGTATTATTCTCCTATTCTTGTACTTTATGAATCCGCCATATTTTTTGTATTATCATTATAAATGTTATTGTTTGAATTTACTTCTCCTGTGGTCACCTAATACGTTGTCAAGCAACCCAATCGTGGTACGGAGGTCGAATCAGGAACGATCTACCCCATTTTCTCGAAAATTTAAGAATACAGTAATATTGCGCCGATTGTGTTCTATAATCATAAAATAATAATTATATATATTAATTAAATTCGTACCATTTTGCCCCATTGTAGTTTAATTAATTAATCATTTCTTTCCTTCGTTTTAAAACATCAATCAAATTTCACTTTCTTTTAACACTGCTGTTGATGCTTGTTATCTGAACGTGCCATATTTGAATTCTTTCCAAGTATAAACATAAGCACGCTAAATTAAGCATGTTATTGAGAGTACATTTCTTCCGTTGGTTATCTTCTTTAAGTATACTTTACATTGTCCGAACGTGTGCAGGCCGTGCCGCTTTGCAGTTTGCCCTAATTTTTATAAATATTATCACCAAATAAAAATTCCGAAGAATTTTTTAATTGAGAAGTGAGATTTGTTGAACCGTGTTTGAGGGACGAGGGAAGTTCTGTCGCAATTATAACTTGGACGAATTTTTGAAGTTGTGGTCCAAAGTGTGGCCAACTTAATCTCAAGCAAGTAATTCTGGGTGAAAATAATTGTAGGTGTATGTCATAGCTTTCATTTTTACCTACATAAAAAATTTTTGTTCAGAGGTAGATGCACATTTTGAATTTTGTTCTGAGGTAGATGCACATTTTGAATTTTGTTCTTATGATCATCTTCCTAATTTTTGGGATGTACTGTGAATAATACCAATTTTTTTGTTTTAGGCAAACGTGTCTAGCGAACGTGATTTTCAGGGCCAAGCGATATTATAAAGAGCTTGTACGAGTCTTCATGTTACCAATTTTTTCTTGTACATGTTTTAACAATTTAACTTTTTTAATTTTACTATTCAGTTGAAGCTCGTAATTTTTTTACACATTTTATCTATTTTCACCTCAAAAAGATTTTCACATTTCCATATTTTCTGTTTAACTCTGCCCTTTTGTTACTTTGACCCATTCTTATGTGTATTTCTTGTCCATTTTCTATTACTGTCTCTTATATCTCTTACATCTTCGCTATTAATTCCCTTATTAATTCGCGAGCAAAGCTCAGAAAGTATCTGTCGCACGGTTACTTTAATTTTTTTCGACTTTTAGAGATGCCTGTCTATGTTGGTTTTAATTGGACAAATAATAATCTCCGAAACTACTGGACTGATTGTCACATTTCAAATTTTATATGTATGCAGATGGGCAGATGGGGGTGCGGGTCAAAACCTCTGTGACGACACATCCAAAATATAAAACAATATTTTTTGTTTCTTACTTCTTGTTGTAAGCTAATTTTTCTAAACGTCCCCACCAAGATTTTGATGATGTTATCCCAAATTTTTCATAATTAATACCGTGTTGATATATTTCAGATGCTCATACATAGATTATTACTTTACAGATAACTTTATTTTAATTTATAGGGATTATGATAAAAAAATTCGCAAACTCAAATTTTATTATGTTTCTAACAAGCTGGATATTCTTCAGGGACGAGGAAAGTTCTGTGTGAATTACGTTTTTTTCAAGTGAATTTTGGGTTTAAACAGGAATGAAATATTTTAACTACTTTAGAAAAATTCATGTAAAATAATTTCATTCCTTTGATTTGTCTTGGTCATTGACCGGTTAGAGGAATTCTCAATGTTCTCCCCTTCACCTCCATTAGCACCCTAGCTGCAATTTTTTTTTAAATTTAATCCACTTCTGAATAGAAACACTTTGTATCCTTTTCCGCTTAAGTACGCGATCCTTAAATTTACATTATTTAAGTCATCTGTGTCGATATTTATTATGCAAATAATTTCCGAAACTCTCCGAAAAGATTATTAAATTTTAGATAAGTATATCTGTTAGGAATATCCTTTCGATGGTAAAACGTTAATTAAGATTTGTCTGCTCAACCTCACCAATAATTTAACGAAATCACCTCAAAATTTTACATGCTAAATGTTATTCAAATTTTATAAAATAACATAATACTGCAGTAGTGGTTAGTGAATACCCCTCGTACAGGGTTTTTATAAATGATTTTAAAGGCGTATTTGGGCCATGAATTTCAAAAATCCCGCTTTACTGAAATTATGCCTCGTTATGACAGTTCTTACTTGTCATTAATGTCATTTGTAATCTGTCCTTTAAAATCATCGTGTTGATTGTGTAAATTACTCAAAACAACAAAATCGTCGTTTTCAAAGATGTTGGAAAAATATTATTGACATTTAAAGTTATTAATTTTGTGTTCAATACGTCTTTAACTATTATTCATTATTATGCATCCTAGATAGTTATATTTTGAAGTTTTGGTGCTCTCATTTTGATTTTCCGTACATAGTGTATATCCATGTTACTTTCCGAGAACATAAGTTTATGCGACACTTAAAAGTAAGGCAAGGCAAAAGTTATATTGCTCTAAGTTTAATTAAGTTAAACCGACCTAGATCAACATCAAAGGCAACTTCATTGCATTACAGTAGTGTTTACTGTTTGTTATACAAAAAAAAAAAAAAACACAAACAGTAGCTTTAGTAAAGATTTATTTTCCCTAAAAGGTGAATAACTAAAAGTTTGTTAATAAACCTTAACATCAATAGCAGCTTTAGTATTATTATGAAATAAACACATATGCCGCCCCGGTACGACGTCTATGGGTTTTCTAGTATGTGCGTTGATGATGGGTGACTCATCGTTCGCTAAAGAAAAGCCTGGAAGCGGAAGTCGGGATGGGTATTCTACAAAGATCTCGATCGCAAAACCTCTAGCAGGAGAGTATAGATTTATTCAGTTGGTTCAATCAAGATACAGTCCAGTTAAGTTGCACCGGAATTATTTTGTACATAATCCCTGTTTAATCAGTCGTGCAAATTT